GAAGGGTGTTTTGAGCGATGTTGCACAGATGGGCATTTAGAATTATTGCCGCTTCAATAATATCGTGTCGTACAATGAAGATGCTGTCGTTTACAAAGTCTTGGTTCCTGATATATTCTTGTTTATTGAATATTATGGTGCTATCGTTGATTCGTTATTCATCATTGTCTTTTCCTCAAAATAGATAAACTTTCTTCTCTTTTTTCTGGGATAATGTTTTCGTTGTATGAAAATGAGGCGTTGTCATAATAGTGCCCTTTTTAAGCACATTTTGTCGTTTTTATGAACATCGTGCCTTTTCTTAACGAAGTGTCCTTTTCAAAAAAAAAAATTGCCGTTTTTTGAATTCTTGTTCTTTTATCTTTTCAATAATCACTAATCAGGATTGCCGTATATATGATGTGTCGTTTCCAGACATATTGTCGTTTTTTGGGTTGTTATCGTTTTATGAGTGTTGATACCCAATTTTGTACCAGGATCATTCAAGGGTCCAGGCTCAATCATGACATCACGTGACGTTATTGGGCTTGTTTCGTGGACCTAAGCCACGCTCAGGGACCCAAGCCACACTCAGGAAATTCCTGTGGGTTGTGATTTGACGGGCCATGTGTGATTAAGTAGGCTCGTTTGTCGTTTAATTCGATCCAATTTGGATCCCGCATGGGGGTTTTCAGAATTAATCGGATTAAATACAAATGGGTGATGGAGACTTACCAAAAATCCTTCCTCCTGTCCTTTTAGAAGCCCAAAATTCCTAAGTCCGCGCCATAGAACATCTTCTTCTTCGTCAAGGTTGATTCTTAGTATTTTGATTCCAACAGAGGCTCTACTAGCGCCAGACATGCCTAATCGAGGCTCCCTCCGTGGCATGCATGTCTCCCGAAGCATCCTCTTCATGTTCAAGTGTGCATAACAGAGCCTTTTCTGTGTCAGGTATTCTTCCTTTAATTTTCTTCTCGCCCAGCTCACCATCAAGGCAACCTTCGCTTGGAGCATGCTCTCCCTTCGGAGCAGCTTCACCCAAAGCAGCCTTCGTCTGGAGCATGCTCACCGTTCGAGCAGTTTCATTCGGAGCAACTTTCATGTTAGAGCCAACTTGACGACTGCTTAGCCAATATCGTATAAACCATCTATAACAAGGTCTGACATGTGAAAAGAGGAAGTCAACGGAGCACGAAGTTGAGTCAAATACTCTTGAAAATTTCAGACCTTGGAACTCTTCACGTCAGCTTCAAGTCTAGAGCTTTGCCTCCAAGTCTTTCTATTTTTGGATCTTTTCTTTGTCAATCTAGAAAGTCACCTGGTCGATTTGTTCCAAAGGAAATTGTGAGTGCATGCCTCCTTCAGAGCGCTGCCTATTGAGCTTTAGAGTAGCCACCATGAACCTTTCTTTCCATTACTGAGCCAGCTATTTTTCAACCCCAGAAAGGCTTATGATGACTTTGCTCCATTTGGACCGCATATGCACACTTCCTTCAGAGTGTCGCCTATTCTGCAAGTTCCTAGAAGTCTTCATTCCATTTTTAGCTAATCTCCTCTTCAACTCCGAAAAGGTGTCAGAGGGCTTTGCTCCATTAAGGTTGCTTGTGCAGGCATCCATCAGAGCACGCCGTACGAACCTCTGAAGCTGATCCCTAAATCCTACCAATTTCACCTATAAATACCCCTCATCTCCATTCTAGGGGTGAATCCATCATCAGCACCGACCATTACTTTTATCCTCATATTACCTTTTCTTCAGACTTCTCTAGTCTCTTGCTACAGAGACTTGAGGTTCTTAAAGCTCTTCAAAGTCCTTCAAAGCCTCCAAGTGTTGATGGCTTTAAAAATCTTTCCAAAACACTTTTCGATCCATTTCCACCACCATCTTAAAACTTTTCGAATTTTCTTTATACATTTTTCAGCAACGTCCAAGTCTTCATCTTCGGGATCACTTCTGCTCACTATTGGAGCTAGTGCTTCGAGCGCCGTTCTCACTTCCAGAGCAACACTCACTGCTCTTGGAGTTCTTTTCACCAGTGCCTTATCCACTTCACCAACTTCAATCTCACACTCTCATTCTCCTCCCAAGCCTTATCCACCACTCAAGTCACCATCTTCGCTCCTAGAGCAGCTCGCGCTTGTCTCCAGAGCACTGCTCTATCAAGGCACCTTCACCCTCTCTCTTTCCATCTCCATCAACTACTTGGTCACACCTCCCACTATTCTTTCATCTCCGGAGTTTTTTTATTTATTTTGTGTGGATTCTTTAATGTATTTTGCAGGGCATTTTCGTCATTTCAGCAACAAAAGAGGGTCCTAGGACACGTGTCCTTCGGTCTAGTTTGGGCGTAACCGACCCTACTTCTTCGTCGGAGGTCCCGCCATCATCATCCACCTCGAAGCTCGACCACGTCAGATCCGCTTCTGACAAACCGCATACTTATGCGTGTCAACCCCCGACAAGTTGACCTTCTGAATCTACTGGACCCCAACAATGAGATACTTTGATTCGTGAAGATTCCGCATATGTTGGTGTTACTAACGACCTAACGTATATTTATTTGATTCCATTGTTTTCTAGCATTTCTTGGATTAATGTCGTTGTCGTATTTTTGTCGTTTTAAATATTTGTCTCTCCAATATCGTCGTTTTCTAACAGATTGTCAGATTATGTCGTTGTTTGCGAAGACGTCATTTTGGGGGGTTGTTGTCGTTCTTAAACATTGCCGTTCATCATGATTGCCTTATATCTGGTGCTCTCGTTCTCTAATATGTTTGACATTTATTGGGTTCCCGTCGTTTTTAATCCTATTGTAGTTCAAAAGGATTATACTTCGTTCTCCGGTACATTGTTGTTTTTGTGTTGCTGTTGTTTGTAAAGATACTTATGTGATCTTATAGTCGATGTCGTTATCTAAAGACTGTCGTTTATAAATTGTCGTGTA